TGTTAGAATAAAGGCCCAACGCTAGAGGGGGGGGGGGTGAATAGCGTTTAAAACAAAATCGCAGGAAATAAAAACGAGAGCGTTAAAGTAAAGAGCGTAAGGAAGGAGCACACCGGATTTTATCCTGGTTCACCACAACGTGTGGCTAATCCAGCCCCCCGAGAGACTCTCTCGAGCTACACTAACTCCGTTAAGCTTAAGGGTGCTTAACAAACCGATACAACTTGAGAACCCGAGTCACACGAGCCTCAACACCTTTGTTCGGAGATACCGCACTCCAAGACTTCTCACGAAGGAACAAGGAACTTCTTTCGAGTTTACAACAAGGGAACAAACTCCCTTAAAGTGTATGAAAACACTTAAACACTCAGGAATAAAACTCTCACAAAGAGTAGATATGAGTGAACTAGTAAACGCTCAAGAACACGACAATTTCTTCAAGAATTGGCTCTCAAATAGCTAAGAAAAATAGGAATGTTTATGCAATGAATGAGTATTGAAATGTTGAAGAATTGTGTGTTAAAAGAGAGGATTTGGGTGCCATTTTATAGCCCAAAATGGGATAAACCCGTTGCTAGAATTTCCAACAGGATGAAGACAAATTTTTCACGGACACAGGCTGATAGTCGATTGTCAAAGCATGATAATCGATTATCCAAAGATTCCCTGTCCAAAAATTTAAAATTCTATCCGTTGGAGGACAACGGTAACCCGGATAATCGATTGTCAACAAGTGATAATCGATTATTGGTCCTCTCAGGAGATTCTTGGTTTTGGTTGCAAAGGCTGATAATCGATTATTGCAAAGCTGATAATCGATTTATTGCGTGCTTCGGAACTTTGGAAGTTCAAAGCTGCAGTGGCTGATAGTCGATTGTCACTAAGGTGATAATCGATTATCACCCAGCTAAAGTTTAGCGAGCTGAAACCCGTTTTGAAAACCGAGGTCCAAAAACGAAGTGTTCCCAAAAGAAAAAACCAAGTTTGAAAAACATTGTATATGGTATAAAATAGTGAAAGCAAGACTTGTTTGGTAAAAACCAAGTCCTCAAGGTCGTAAATCACGTGCGTACGGTTTTGACCGTTTTTCACGTGTTAGACCGATTGACCAAGATACAAAAGTGGTTTTTATAAAATAATTATTCAGGAACCATTAAAATATGCTCAGAGATAAAAGCGAGGTCTAAAACATTGAAAACCACCGAGTTGGTTCGGGCGCCAAAAACCGAAAACCATTAAAATATGCTCAGAGATAAAAGCGAGGTCTAAAACATTGAAAACCACCGAGTTGGTTCGGGCGCCAAAAACCGAACGCCGAAAACCGAATGTCGAAAGCCGAACGCCGACTTAGCTGGTTTTGGTTCTGAGCAAGGACCAGGGATTTTTAACAATAAAAGAAGTCATCAAAAATGTTTGTTTTGATGCACAAAAAATGTTTTATGGTTTGTAAAAATTGTTTTGACTTTTTGAGAACCGAGACTTGAATAAATTGTCGGTTTTGATCACAAAAGACCGACTCGACTAAGTCTTCAATTCTTGATCTTGTCCTTGAGTCTTTTTTGTCTTGTTCCAAGCCATTCTTCACGCCTTGAGTTATTCAACGAAACTCTTCATATCCACGGCGGTTTGGCAATTATCAAAACCTGTCAGAAATGAACACGACTTTAGTTTAACGTACAAAGTGTGTTCCAACAGGCCCAAGTACACACCCCATGCAAACCCGATCCAAATCTCGGGTGTTTCGTCCTAAACAAATTCTTAATCTCAACACCTCCGGCCCCATCTCACCCCTCCCCCCCAACCTACCGTAGTGCACTTAAAGATCCTAACTGGCACAAGAATGACATATGGGAATTAGTACCCCCCCCCCTCCCCCTCACAAAATATAATCACCAGTAAATGGCTTTTTAGACACAAATTTGGTCCCTCCGGTGAGTTATCCAGGTATAAGGCTTGTTGGGTGGTCCGTGGCTTCAATTAGCGTTTTGGTGTCGACTACGACGAGACTTTCAGCCCTGTCATCAAGCCAGCCACTGTTCGAATCGTCCTTAGCCTTGCACTGTCTCGGGGTTGGCCCATCCACCAGCTTGATGTCAAAAACGCGTTCCTACATGGGCACCTTCAGGAGACAGTCTATGCTAGCTAGCCTTCTGGGTTTCAGGATGCCGCCAGACCCCACTATGTATGCAAACCCAGGAAGGCACTCTATGGGCTCAAGCAAGCCCCACGCTCGTGGTACCACAGATTTGCAGGCTTCATCCAGTCCATTGGCTTCCGGGGTTGCAAGGCTGACACATCACTCTTCATCTTCTCCCACACCACGGGAACAGCCTACCTCCTCCTCTACGTGGACGACATCGTCCTCACTGCCTCCTCATCATCACTTCTTCAGAGCCTCATCCATCAGCTTAAGACAGAATTTGCTATGACAGACATGGGGGATCTACACTTCTTCTTTGGCATTAATGTTCAGCGCACCTCTGCAGGGCTCTTCCTTCACCAGACTCAGTTCATACATGACATACTCGAGCGCGCTGGGATGCTCTCGTGTCGCCCTATCACTACTCCGATCAACACGAAGGCAAAATTATCCTCCTCTACAGGCACAGTACTCCCAAATCCTTCCTTATACCGGTCCATTGTGGGAGAACTACAGTATCTCACCTTCACACGGCCCGACATCACTTATGCAGTCTAGCAGCTCTGCCTCCACCTACATGCACCCCGCGATGCTCATCTCACTGCCATGAAGCGCGTTCTACGATATCTGAGTGGCACTACCACCCATGGCATTCATCTGTCACCATCTGCCATAGACTTTCTCCAGGCCTACTCTGACGCAGACTGGGCCGGCTGCCCAGACACCAGGCGTTCCACCTCAGGCTACTGCGTATTTTTGGGTGATAACCTGGTCTCCTGTCATCCAAACGACAGGCAACCACCTCGCGATCAAGCGCCGAGGCTGAGTACAGGGCTGTAGCCAACGTCGTAGCCGAAACCACTTGGGTGCGTAACCTTCTCCTTGAGCTGCAGGCTGCAGCAACCTCTCCGGCGTGCCACCCTTGTCTTCTGTGACAATGTCAGCGCAGTCTACCTCTCCACCAATCCCGCCAAGCATCAGCGCACAAAGCATGTGGAGGTCGATATACACTTCGTACGTGACAAGGTGGCACTCGGTCATGTTCGGGTCTTGCATGTTCCATCTTCCTCCCAGTATGCCTACATTTTTACCAAAGGACTGCCCTCACTTCTGTTCCTTGACTTCCGAAACAGTTTTGGTCTCAAACCGCTTCCACATTCGACGTAGCCGGGAGCATGTTAAATATACAATTTTTATTTAATTATTCTTGTATTATAGTGTTACCATAATTGTATTACCTTCCTACTATGTCTCTCCTACCATAATTAGGATTGAGACTCCTTGTATAAATACACATGTAATTAACACAAATCATCAATGAAAATATTCTTTCTGCACATTATTTAGATGGACCATGCTACACTTACACCAAAAAATATACCTCATTTGTACACCACAGGCTTGCACAAACATTTCGATGGTTTACACCAACACAAGTGTTGGTGCGTTAATAAATATTCACACGGACACAAATGTTGGTGCGTTTAACAAAAATTAGTTTTACACCAACACAAAGTGTTGGTGCAAAACTGCGGGGTACAAATTGGGATACAAACTTTAGGGTACACATAGCATAATCCTTAGATTAAACATTGAGGGTGGGAGTGGGACGTGACCAAGATTTGTTTGGCTGGAAGAAGGGTGTTGGGATACGGGAAAAAAAATCAAATTTTTAAAAATGGATAAAAGTAATGGGGATTAGAAAAACCTGGGGCGGGGGCCCAATAACAAATGTACAGCCGTTTGATTGCTCTCCGGTTTCTGTGGGGGCGCCAGACACCGCCACGCAATTAGTCTCCTTTACTGACTCACATCGCGTAGACTCCACGTATTCCTGTGTCCCGCCTTTGTTTCTTTTTCCACTCTCACCACTCTATGGATTTTCCTACTTCCCTCATCCAAGTTGCTAAATGAATTAATGGTCGTTGCACTCTATAAATATTATGTGCAGACTCCATTCTTTGCTATTAATTTGCAATTAAAGTTAAGTTTACTTCTTCTCAATGACCGTCTGGCTGAGTTTGAGAAAACCTTCGGAAATGGAGCTCATCCTTTTTTTGTTAAAATAATTAATGCTCATTGCGCAATTTACAAGGTGAAGAATATCAAGGGAATAAAACTTGAATTCCACGAGATATTCAACGATGGGGCTCATATATTTTGCTAAAAGAATTACTTCCCATGTCTCTGAATTATCTTCTTCTTTATTTCAGACATTAGATATCTTTTATTCGGTTTGCATTTTTATTGATCATTTCGTAAATTAAATAAGCATATCATCACTTTTTTTGTAAAATTTTTTATTTAGTTTTTATATAAATTTTACTTTTCAGTTCTATACAATTTGTAAATATGAGCAAAAAAGCACAACACACCATTCTATTATGACATGTTTGGAAACTTACCATTTGGATATCAAAATTAGATTTAGACTGTGCTCTCTTCAACTTATTCTTATTACTTACGGAGTATTACTTATTATGATTGAGATCAGTTCGGATCAAATCAGATCAACCTAGAAACAGCTTTAAATACAACAATATTAAGATCAAATCAGACCAAACCAGATCATATCAGATCAAAATCATTCAGATCAGGTGAAAAAAACAAGTCCTTAATTTCCAGAGTCCAAAAATTTGGATTTGACCAAATTTCTCTAATTTCGAATAAAATGTAGTTACGAATTCATACAATCTCTCTTATAAGTTGAAATTCAAGAATTTAAATTTTAAAATTGAATTTAAAAATTGAAATGAATTCCTAATTTCTGACCAATAGATTGGAGAATTTAATTTTGAATCCTCTACAATGAAGGGAGAGGAGAGTGTTATAATAAAGAGAAAATATTTGCCTGCATAAGTACATTTAACGTCGTCCCTTAATGAGATAATAATGACATGTTTTTTTGTCCCAAATTTCTCTGATGGGTGCCAGGGCATCCCCTTGTACACTCGGTGCATATTGCATGTTTGAACACTCATAATTCACTATGCTTTCCTACGTGAACTCGAGCAGGAAAAGTCGGAGGCCTAAGAGTTCTTGTGGTCTCGTTTAAAAGGGCTAGTGGCCTAGTGCACGTATCGTGAACCAAACATCTCGTAACACTCCAACTCACGTAACCCAAATTAACGAGTTAGCGAATTGGGTTGCTACTAAATGAGATCTACATAATAGTGAATTTTAAGATATTTGAAATAAAACATTCCTTCAAAATAGCTTTAAATAAACATAAGTCGATCAAGGTAACAAGTCAAAACAATGCGGAAGCCTTTGAAGACAACATCACAAAACATTCTTATAATTTTAATGAATGGGTTGAATAGAATAATTAATTTAACATAAAGCAGTTATGGGCCATCAACTGTACCAAACATCATTGACCACCGGATTGCTCATCCAATTCCTGATTTAAAATCTACGTGTAGTCAAAGACAACAAAGACTACATGCTCAGTTCAAGTTGAGTGAGAATATATATCTAACGCCAGAATTGATTCATAGAGTAGCACCACAAACAAATACACTCACACAACATCATATGCATAAGTCACATCATTATCAATCAGGATTCAATATATTATATTCATCTTTCCGTTGCTTCTAACCTACAACATGTAAGGCTCACATCAATTCTAAAGGAGTCTTAGGATCCAAGCTCTCACTAGAGTGTCACTTACCTATGTACATACATTTTAACTCCTGGTTGTGGATTCTAGTACTCTGTAATCGTTTCTTAATAATACTCTATAATTGTTTCTTTTTTGCCCATTGCTTTATAATTTATAAAACATTACATACAACACAACAATTATTTCAAGAAAAATTTACCTAAATAATACTAAAACATAGTGACTTTTATAATGTAGTAGTGTAGTACCATATACTTTTATTTACCAATGTAGTATCACTAGTCATTGTCCAGTAGTCATTGTTCAACTAAATGTCCACCGTCACTGAACATTATTCAAACTAACTGTCCACCCTCACTGGATATTGTTCTCGCCACTAGACATTATTCAAATACTGTTTAGGAAATAAAAAATTTAAGTACTACATTGAAAAGTGACATATGTTAGTTCCATGGTGTTGGCTAATCTTTTGGCAAAATAGAACCCCATATTTGTTAGGTGTTTTACTAGATAAAGCTTCTATTTGTTAGGAGAGGTTTATTTTATTTAGACTCTTAGAGTTGCTGCTGTTTTCGAGGTTGACACAGAAGATGCTACCGCACGGTGCTGCAACACACTGTTCGGGATCAGAGGTCTGAGCACGGGATTTTAAGCTGCAATCTGAATTAGAGACCTATTGGGATTGTGATTACATGATAAAAACTCCAGCTGTACATGCTAAGGAATCACAACTCTTTAGGCTACTTGTGGATCAAGATTAAGGAAGTAGAGTTCAAGCCAACTTCTACTATCCTATTCCTACTAGGATTGTGTTAAGAGGAGCCTATAAAAACGCAGCAGGTCCCTAGGAATTACTTGGAGCGATTAACAGGAAAAACAAAGAATATACGCTGATGTAGAGCATTCCCATCGCGACCCGGAGCTTCCCATGTGTGAAGAAGGTTGCGATCTACATGAAGAAGGAGATTTTCAACACCAAACTGATCGTGACATCTAGGAGATGAAATAGAGCTGAACGAGTGGGCTGTCAACACGTTTGTCCTAGTGATCTCGGTGGAGATGTGATAGCCGAAGAGGATCTGAACAGAGTTCGGGTTAGAAATCCTAGATTAGAAGTTTTGTCATAACAATTCGAAGAAGAGTGTCTCATCATGTTGTTATGTACCGGTGTAACTTGCATCTAGTGATTTAGTGGAGGGCTATTACACGAACGTGGGCCCCGTAGATTAGGAGAGTTTCTCCGAACTGCGTAAACATATCTGGTGTCATTTTTTACGCATTTTTATAGTTACAGCATTCTGTCTAGTAGGCGCTGTAACACCCTCTGCATCATCTGCTTCTGTCTGTGTGTGCTTGTGACATAGAAATGTTATAGCACCCTGTCTGTCATCTGTGTTACTGTGACAGTGCTACAACATATTTTCTACAACATAGTTGATTATTTTGTTTGCATAGTTCTTAATTGGTGATTTCCGCTGCGCCCCCACGAACTTACAACATATATTTTAGTACCTGTACTATTTAGTGCAAATTTCACTTATTTTAAACTCAGATTTGGTCATACAATACACTGATATGAATCTCCTTTCAAATCCCAAATCTACTACTACGTATAACACAACTCCTTGCATATAAAGCAAAATCAAACTGTGAACACATTAACAAGAAACTTTTTTCCAGTACAACGCCGCGTCAGTTTTCTTAGTATACGCCCGGCACCTTCTATGTTCAGAATAAACGATCCAATGAACCAACAAAAACATTAACATCGTTGACGAAGCTACAAGCCCCGTGAAGACCCACATCGAGTATTCCTCTATGCCGGAGCACAACATTTTGCTCAAATCGGAGAGTGTTTTCTTGAGAAATGTGCCATTCATTAGCTCAATCACAAAGGGCATCCCATGGTACAGACCAGAGCTAACATTAACAAGTGCAGTGATTTGCTTGTAACCCAACGGTGTCAAACGCCCCGGGGTGACACAATTCCCAACTAAAGAAACATCGCACATGTACTTCTCCCAAGCCTGCGTGTATGTTAGCTCAATAATATATGCTACTTTAACTCCAAAGATGACACCAAAGTCGACACCAGCAAAGACAAAGACAATAAATGAGGTTGTGCTAGGGTAACCCCACGTTTTTGGCCCCATGCTTGACCCCCATGCTTAACGACAATAATTGCATGTGCGGCACCGCCAAGAAAAGTCTAAGGAAAGCCCAATGCATTTCTGTGGTGTGAATGTAGCATGACTCTAGAGAAAAAGGTCAAGGAAAGACTAACGCGTATAGGCCCATAAGTTGTAAACTTGTAAATTCAATTCATATGTCAAATGGTTATAAGAAAGTAATTTCTTAACGTTTCAAAGTGAAAAATAAAGCATAGACAATTCTTACCTCGGATGCATTCTCGAAGTTAACTTCATTGGGAGCACAATGCCTATCGGTATCATCCTCATTATAAGGGTTGCAGAGCAAAGGAACCAACGGACCTGATTGGTTATAGTACGATGCACCTGCATAAGATGTCGCATTGGCATTGGAGACGTTGGAAATATAAGTATTTGTCACCTCGACAACTCCATAAGTAACATCCTTTGTTGCTGACAGAATTTTCTTAGTAATTTGGTTGTCTATGTTGGGGATTATATTTTCTAGAGCTGAATCTACAGTTGGATTTTGTAGCCATTCGTTCATCGCAACACATGTATCTCCAACAAGGCTGAAACATGTGAGAGTGAAGCATAAGGTTAAGCCGGATAATTGAATATAGAAGTAACTTGAGAAATTGAACAATGATTTTACATGTGAATGTAGCTAAGAGAGCTCACTTATTAACTAGGAGAAATATGCCACTCACAAGAAATGTTATAGTTACAATGAACCACCCAACCATAACTAAGCTGCAATTACACACACATTGTTAGCACATATAACTTGTATGATCAAATAATCCATATTTAGCCAATTAACAATTTTAACATCACTTACCTATATACAAGACACTCAACTCCTAGCATTGCAAATACTGCCACAAGAATTTTACCAAAAAGGAAAAAAATGAAACTTAGTTAGACGACACATTGCTACACTAGATAGTTATCCATTTGCCCCAAAATAAGATTCTGCTTTAGTACTCAATGGTCAAACTTTATCTTATTTCCTTAGATATTTTCATCGATCATGTCATAAATAAATTCTTGAAACAACCACTCTATGTTTTAAATATAGGGGTCAGACTGCGTACATCCGACCCCTCCTTACCCCACAGTGGGCGGGAGCCATTGATGCACTGGGGTAATGTTGTTGTTGCTGTTGTATTTCATAAAATAAATCAAAGTAACATCTTGTTTTGTAGAATTGTTTATTTAGTTTTTAAATAAATAAAAAATTACTTTTAATTCTACACCAATCTTCAAATAAATTAAAATGAGAATAACTCCAGTCACTTCGTAAACCGTAAGCCGAACTTTTTTCAAGACGGAGGGTGTAATATGTAATAATAGTACTTCGCACCTAGAAAAGAGTAATGTTTTTGAACATGCTTATTATTTTAGAAACATGAATGCTTTTTGGAGAAACATGAATGCTTTTTGGAGACAAATTTATTGTTCTGTTGAATTCTGTTATTGTCAAAAGAAAACAAGATGAGGGGAAAGAAACATACAGAGCCCAAGGAACGCCACGAGAATGACGATAGTAGCAAGAGTAATGAGGATTAGTTTTCTAAAACGAAGAAAACAAATCATTAGCTGCCAAGAAGATTTAAACGAAAAGTTTATTATTTACACAAAATATGTACTCAATAAAAGACTACAACTCACAGTGGATTTAGAAAGCTAATGACGTCATTTCCACTCTTGGTAGTGAAGTCACGAAAACTCTGGTATACTCCATTGATTGTACTTCCGATTTGGTCAACATCGTTCTTCTGTTTTTCAGGCAAGGAAATCTGTCCAATCCCAACATCCTTGGCTGCTAACATATTATTAAACAAGTCCATGATGTTACCAACAACTGTGTCTACTCTGTGCAGAACATAGCTGATTAGATTAGCAATGCTTTTCTCAAATCTTGCTTGGCCAACGAATATAAACACACCTCCTGCTCTGAGTACAGTAAAAGAAATAAAAAAATCAATGTCGAAAACTATAATCAAGCAAAACAGAAAAAAAAAGATATAATTACAAGAAAAAATGGGATGGATAGAAGTTTACATGACGGCGATAGTTAAGAGGATGAGAAAAATGAGAGACAAGTTATAGGCATGTCGAGAATAGCCATAAGTCTTGCGTGGACAACAGCAACATCGTATACACATACAGAAAACCCACATTGGAAAAATGATGAACCATAAAACTGCGGTGACGAAAGGGCCTAGGGAAGCATAACCTGTCGACTCCATGATACCCAATTTCAGAACAACAAAAGAGAATATATAAGGCTGAAGTTTATGAAACATAATCTTTTAGGAAAACTAAACGGGGAACTAAAATTGCACTCAGAACATATTAAGGGACATAACACTATAAAAAGTTGTATTCTTTAGAATTGCACATATAATTACTTTTCATCCCTCAACTACTAAATTTTAATTTATGTTTTGCCACTCTTGTTCTTCTTACCATTCAACTTTCTAAGCTTGAATGCGGTTAATTAACTCGTATGCTATAAATACAACACTTTCCATCTAACAAAATCAAAATTTTATTGAAAGTGGATCCTTTCAATGCAATATATTTCCATGTGAGAAAATACATGTCCAATGGATTTTTCCATACAACAACAACAACAACAACCCGGTTAAATCCCACAAGAGTAGGGTCTGGGGAGGGTGTGTGTACGCAGACCTTACCCCTACTCGAAAGTAGAGAGGCTGTTTCCAAAGAGACCCCCGGCTCAACGTCGAAAGTTGTATTGCTTGACTAACTGCTACTTCATTAATTAAAGAAACGCAGACAGTTTAGAGATCCATTTTGATTTATTCCATCACACCCCAAAGCGCAGACAGTTTAGAGATCCAATGGATTTTTCCATATGGAACAAAAATGCATCAAAATAAATAAAATAAAATCTAGAACAAACTAAAAAAATAAAGCAATTGATAACACACACACACACAGAGGAAAAGGATCTCATGCAGGAATGGCGAGGTGTCAAAAGTTCTAATTGGTTATACATTCTACTAAATAAGGAAAATATAATCTAGTACAATGTGTTCGGTAAATAGAGAAGGTTCGAGGCAACAGTGGAACTCCTTTATGATAAGGTTTAACCTTGTTATATTAAGGATGCAGCAAGGTTTAACCTCAAAAGACATCATACAACAGAATTGTATCGCCAAGTCCAAGCCGAAAATAAGCCTAATAGAAATGGAGCACTTTGCACCACGACGTGCATCAGTAATGTAGAGATGGTAGAGTAGCTGGTTTGATTTAATTTCTTAATTTATTTTGCTGGATAATTTTTCTGTGATTTTTCCTTGCTTAAGTAATTATCAACAAAAGCCATATTCCCACAATATGCCAATGAAGAAAAGTAAACAAAACACTTTGCATTATAAGACACAAATCCATGACCAAAAAGAGAGATAATAAATGAAGGGTTGTTGCTAAATTCACTCCCTAAATGGCTATATCTACACCTTTCACCCAATTTTTCTAAATCCACACCAATATCAAATTTGTATTAATGGGTGTGGATTTAGCAAGAAAAATTACGTGAAAAGATGTGGATATAGTCATTCAGGGAGTAGATTTAGCAACACCCTAAATGAAGGTATAAATATATGTTGAGAAATATTATATTATGCCACACTAGAGGTACTTATGATATCACAAAATGTGTGTCAGCCCCACCTTGCTTATTCAATATTGAAATAGAAATGGCACTCTTAGTCGTCCAACTAAAAAAATTTTGGAAAAAATTCATTAAAGAGAATATTAGAGAGATTTGCGTTAAAATAGAGTTTTTTGTACTATAGATTAGCCATTTGACTATAGTTAAACAATGAAACATATATTAGAAGTACTTGATATAAAGAATTGAAAAAAGAAAAAACTGGTTTGTGAGGTGTATTTAGCTAAATGTGGGTGAGCTTAGTATGGCTTTGTCATAAGCTAAATGCTATGGTGGACCTATATATCTAAAGTCCACACCATTTTCAGTGAACCTTTCATATTGAGGGGTAAGCAAATGCTTACTACCTTGTCATCATAAATATACACCAAAAAGTTTCATCAATTTTTTTTTTTGTTTGTCCTCATTTTTTAAATTTGAAATACGGAGTATTTAAAAAGAATGTACAACAAAATTTGAACGGCTGCCGAGAACAAACTTACAGCAAAGTAGTGTGGATTGGAAAGGTTCCAACCGCCGTTGTAGTACCGGAAATTATCCGTCGGATCTCGTCGGCGAGTCCTTTCCGCCGCCAAAATCAAATTACTGGAATTTTGGGCGGCTGATTCCGCCGCCATCTTCATCGTCATCGTCGATTTCCATCTCGCAGTCAGCCCCTTGCCATCAAACGCTAGAATTTCAGGAAATCCAAGAAGAAAGAATGATGAACGATTTGATAAGTTGATAATTACAAGTTATAACAAAGAAATCTCAATATGTCATCAAAATACATCCATTTCTACTCAATTTTGGGTACAACTAAACAAATTGTTTATAGTATAGATTTTATTTTACATGAGAATGAACACTAAATTATTCGATAATGAGTACTGTTTTGTTTTAGAATCAATACTACATTATTTGTAGATTAATATTATAATTATATTGAACCAATGTGTGAAAATGAGTAATGCATTATTTTAGAATGAGTATCACCCTAATTATATTTGTGAGAGAATAAGTACTACTCTACTTCAAAATGAGTACTATGCAGATGTATCGTACATCCAGTTGTACCATATACCTTCTCAGCGCTTCCCCGTCCCAAATTTAATCTCTCCACCTATTCTTTTTTAGTTGTCCTAAAATATGAAACCAACAAGTGTCATATTAATTTTTTTACACTATGTTTGGTTTAAAAAATTTGAAAGGGAAAAGAAAAGAAAGTGGAAAATAGTTTTTTTGTTTGGTTAGCGAAGAAAAGTAAAAGGAAAAGAAAATGAGAAGGAAAAATATACTAAGAAAAACTAATTAGATAAAATAAAATATTTTTGTCGCCTAATATTTTGTATATTTTTTGGCGTGGTAATTAAAATGCATGTTTATTTTTTATTTTATATCAATTTTTGAATAAAATAGATTGAAAACTTATAATTTCTTTTAGTTTTGGCTTCCATGCGATTCCTTTACACTATGTTTGGTTCATGGAATTTGGAAGGAAAAGAAAAGAAAATGATTTTCCATTAGTTTCCTCACCAAAATGGAAGGAATTTGGTTTTCCATCTTCTTAATACATTTTGCTTTCTCATTTTCTTTTTCCTTCCACTTTTCTTTTCTTTTCCTCTTTAACCAAACAAGAAAAAATGTTTTCGTTCTCATTTTCTTTTCCTTTCCCTCTCAAATTCCTTGAACCAAACATAGTGTTAGGGACAAACGGAGTAAATAATTATTTTTACAATTTGTAGTCAATGCTTGTAACGTTTGACCAAAAGTCAAACATTGAATATCTTTGGGGTGGAGGCCGGGAGTAAGAAATTGACAATCGTCATTATTTTTCTCTATAACAACCACAACAACCCAATTTAAGATCAAAATAGAGATTAGAAACAGGTGGAAATATATAACTTCACATAATTGCATATCATTTATGAGATGATGATGAAATATGAAAATATATATGGTAATAAGCTAGTTTCTAGCTGCAATTCCAATTATGGTCTTGGTGAAACCCAATTAAATAATTACCCAGATAATTAAAATAAGAATTGTAAATAGGCTTATGGAATGTGAAAAAAGAAAGATTATTGCAAAAATAAATTTAAACAAAATGTATGATGAGTTAAATAATTACCTGAGAAATGTTCATCTCGTAAATGACGAATGATATTGGGAGTGGCGGCAAACGAGAGGGGAAAGGTTGATGATAGAAGAAAAGGAAGAGAAGAAAATATGAGAAGAAAGAAAGGGTTTGAAATGAAACCCATTATTATTCTTCATTCCATTCGCGATTGAATCCCATCCATGTAGCTTAATTAATTATTAGGAGTATAATTATTTATTCATACCAGTAATTTTTATGCCATTAGTTTATTTGGTAGAAAAGTTTTCGACCACAAAAATGGGTTCAATCTTTGAGTAATTGACCGATATATGTAAAAATAATAGCAGGAGAAATTTTTTCCCTGCGGTGCAATACGAAGTTGGTAACTCCTTTTCAACTTGAATTAATTATCCAAACGGGGTAGCGAACTCAAAACAAACAAAAAAAACTTGGAATACTCCGTTCCATTTACTTTCAAAAATTATCCCCATCCACTAAGTTTTTACAAAAAAAAATAACATTTTTCTATTTTAATAATGGATCAATATTTTACACCCAAAAAGGAAAAATATTCGATAATAAGTTTTAACGAGTAAATTACCGGTATATATAAATAAAAAAGTTTTCGTTCCTGACAGTGCAAGTCAGAGAAAAACTTCTTATCGAGAATAGATGGAGTTGCATATTCCGTTCCATTTATTTTCAATTCAATTTATTTGATTGTACAGTAGGTGTAGCATTGAAAATTAAAATTTATATAGTAAAAACTTAGATGAAGAAATTTATAAAACACGAGATGACGTCACTATCTTATTTTATGAAATGATGAGTTAAAGGGTGGTCAAGTTGTTTTTCAAATAAACTGCTCATTTATTTTTTAGTTTCAATTCGTTTTTTTAAAGTTTTTTAAAACCGTTTTTAATTTCATATTCTTAGTTTCAATTACTTTTTTTTAGTTGTAATTATTTTAGCAACAAAGTTAATGCAACTGATTATGCCGTAGCAAAAGTTGAGTAACTTGTTGCGAAAAGTCAGTCTATAATGTTTTGAATTGATAAATCTTTTATTTTCATTATGCATTCTCTCTCCACCTAACCACTCATTCTCACTCCCACCTACCTATTTATTCATCCTCCCACCTAACCACCCCTTCTCACTCCCACCTAACCTTCCAATCCCACTCCCATCTACCCGTGCATTTCCCCTTCCACCTAACTAGACATTCCTACTTCCACTCTACATCTTATAAATACCACCCAATATCTCCATTTCAAACACACCACCACCATTATTCCACACCCAAAAAAAATGTCAGAAACAAATAGTACACTTCTTGTAGCTCATTGGAATGGTGAGATACAAGTTGTAAATAGTGAAGTTCAATCCTCTGAACTTTCGAAGAAGTCTTTATTGTTCAATTCTGATATATCTTACAACACTTTTCTTGGTCAAATAAGTTGTGATGTAACTTAAGACGGATTCCAAGGCATGGAATCTGTCTACGGTAAATTCCCCAGACATCAATCAGGGGTTTATGTTGGTTCACGACCTCTCCCAATCAAGGATGAACCGACATGGCGGCATTTTATACAAAAAGCATCACGTGAATACGATGCATTTGAAGTATTCATCGTGGTGTCTAAAAATGTTGAGGAGGAAGAGGATGGTAATCCATTCTTTCAGCAACCAATGGATCAGCCCTCTTCATCCCATTTCGCTCAAGATGTTGATAGCGATCCAGATGATGCTGAGTACGTTGCATCCTCCACGGAAGATGAAGAATCTTCAGAAGAGGAACACTACATATCTTCATATGAAGGAGACGATGGCCACGACATTCATGCAATGCCACATTTAAAAGACATCCAGAGACACGTAACGTATAGATCTTTGCAACTGACGTTCCACGTACCAATTATTGAGGTTGGTAATACATATCATTCTTTTTAAAGTTTACAACAAGCTGTGTCCTTACGCAACATTGCGGAGCATATACACTTTCGCACATATGCGAAATGGAGTCGTTATTGGAGAGCTAGTTGTGTATATAACCCTTAATGCACTTGGTTCATCCAAGCCGCAGAGAATGGAGGGACAACTATGTGGACCATAAAACAATACTAGGGGTACCACCAGTGTAGACCAGATTACACAAGAGCCAAGGACGACAAATTGTTAACAAGTGAACTCATAAGTACCATAAAGGTCCAAAAATTCAAGAAGATGCTGACTATAAAGTCAAACTCATTATCAGGGATGTTAATGAGTTGTTCTAGATCTTTGTGTCTTATAAGAAGGCATGGTGTGCACGGATATTAGCCATCCAACGATTGTATGGTACTTGGGAAGGGTCGTACAACAAGTTGGCTCTTTTGCTCAGTGCAGTTATAGGGTCAAACCATGGAACTGTTGTTGATTTGCAAACACAATCAACCGATTCACCAACTTGTTTTCAGTTCAGGTATGTATTTTGGTCCTTCAAGGCGTCCATAGATGGATTTTACTATTGTCTTCCAGTTATTTTAGTGGATGAAACTCACTTATACGGCAAGTATAAGGCATGTTTATTACTTGCCATGGCAACGACAGGAAATGGTGAAATTTTTCCACTCGCTTTTTCCATTGTGGATGATGAAGATGGTGCAAGTTGGAAATGGTTCATGACGAATGTCATGCGTCATGTGGTACCCCCACACCGCTATGTATGCATAATATCTGATAGACACAGTGGTACAGTGATATTGACCATGCATTCGAAAATGTTCCAGAGTTGGGTGGAGGTCAAGTGACTCGAAGATATTGTCTCCGCCACCTACAAAGCAATTTCTGAAAGAAGTTCCAAAGTAAGAAGTTGCGGACCTTGATGTACAAAGCTGGTGAGGCCTCGAACAGAAGTGAGTTTGACTAGTTGCTACCTCGAATAACGTCCAAAAATCAAGAAGCTTACAACTTGCATAATGCCATTCTAAAACACACGTGGGCATTGTCACATAATGAAGGTGGCGCACGTTATGGTATAATGACTACGAATTCGTCAGAAAGTTTCAATAATGTCCTTGAGAGATGTCATTGTTTGCCCGTATATGCCATTGTGAAGTTCACCTATGATAAGTTGGTCAAATTTTTCGCTGAGAGGCGAACAAATGGATATGTATGGCAGCAATCTGGGTACAATTTTCCTATAAATGTGTGAAAACATATTAGTCAAAATGACGAAAATAAGCTTTATTGTCGTGTTGTGCAGCACCACACACAACAAGGGATATACTCTGTGGTGGTGGATGGGTCGTCCAACATTGCTCAAAGGGAGACATTTATAGTGAACTTAAATGCACGAACATGCAGTTGTGGTCAATGGGTAACATTTCACATCCTGTGCAATCATGTGCACGCAATATGTCATTACTATAGTGTCACCGTGGATCATTTGATTTCAAATATTTTTTCAATTTAGTCCTACATCAATGCATACTCAGGCATAATAATGCCACTTCTAGATGAGTCTGAATGGCCTACTCTAGAGTACGAGATACTGAGGCCAACGCCAAGACAGAGCACACGAACCGGCCGACTTACGAGAACCCGCTATCCGAATAACATGGACTATCGACCACGGAGACATCGCAACGAGGAATAGCTATGTCATGAATTTTATTTATGTATGAGTTTATGTATTATTAAATTTTACCATTAAGTTAGTCATGGATTGTGTTTTGTAATTTTATTTTTATGAATAAATTGAAATATGTACTCTATCAATAAATTTATTGTATTTTTATATAATTTCTAGGTAACAAAAATTAATCGATTTCATTGAGAAACTAAAAATTAAAAAAAATTAATAAAATATTTTTAAAAAAAGTTAGAAAGGTTTAAAGCAAAAAAATTAAAACAAACAACAACCATTTGATTAAGAAAATTATAATTGGAACAAAAAATTGGGAAAAAAAATTTGAACAAAAAAATTAGAAACAAAAAAATTTGGAACAAAAATTGGAACAACAAAGCAAGAAATTCCATTTGAACAACAAAGCAACAAACTCAATAGTTGGCCATTATTGAACAACAAAGCAACAAAATTTGGATAAAAAAACGGAACAAAAATTTGGAACAAAAACTAATACGGAGTAGCCAACTCCGTTTGAAAACGGAGTAGCTAACTCCGATTGGTATTATTTGAGAAATCACACATTAAAAAAGTATATAAAGGAATGAAATGCAACCAATCTACACTAACAAGGAATTCACCCTCAATCTTTCTCCCCATTTGGAAACCTTTCTTCTAAGCCTAGTTGGTGATGCAATGTTATACTACTCTGTATCTGTTAATTTTGGAAAATTTGGATGAATGGACATTTAAGAAATACTCCTTCCCTTCAAAAAAAGACATTTAATTTCTTTTCTGAAACATTTCAAAAAAAAAATCATCTTTCCTTTTAGAGAAAACTTTGGGTGAATTACAATTTGTTTTCTACCCTTTGCATCATTTTGAACCAGACATTTTCATTTTTCTTAAAATTTGTGTAAAGTCAAACTGCGCGGTTTTTTAGAATGAAAGGAGTAGTTTTTGGTCTTAAATTATATTTTCTCCATTCTAAAACATTCTTCTCAATTACTATTCATACAGTCTGATACGGTATCGTATCGGTTAGGGAAGAACTTCGAGCGTCTTCGGGCTCCAAGAAAGGGGAGGTAAGGGGAGAAGGAAAACTTCGAGCGTTTCCGAGCTTCAAGAAAAGAGAGACGAGAGATTAAGAGAATTCTTGATTATTGATTGATTGATAATAAAACGGGATTACAATATATAGAGATGAGACGCCACACCTACATGACCTAATGGGCTCGGGCCCATACAAAAACCCTAATCTATAGAATACTAATAAATAATAATAATTAACTACTAAATAATAATATAACTAATTAAAATATTCTAATTAACTATCTCTATCATTCCCACCCCCTTAAAATCCACCTTGTCCTCAAGGTGGAGGCTCCCACTCATGCTTCAGGACCGGAGAAAGAATGCTGAACCAAAGGAGCAATCCATTCTTTGAATCTTCAACCATCTTTGATCTTGGAGCAAAGTGATGGAAAGATGAGACAGGGTGCAGAACATATGTAGTTGCTCTCGATGAAACCAGGTGCTCCGTCTTGACCACATCGACAAGCTTAAACAACTTGATGGTGTCAATCAACATAGGTGAGTGTGCTTGTTTACCATCTGCATCTGTCACTTTGTCAACACTTTTTGGAATTTCATATTCTGCAATGACCACACTAGTTGAGGTAGAAAATTTCTGAAAAGTAGGATCTGGCTTGTCGAGATTAGCAACATCTTCTGCAAGAAGACCTTCATTTTTGTCCACAACATTGAACCTCCCATTATCTTTGTTTATGGCTTCATACTGGATGTCCACATCATCTCCACCTTGTGAGTCAACGCTTGGTTCCTTCATGGATGCGTGATCATGTGCTTCAGCATTTCGGTCAATTATTATAGAGACCAGATTCAGCACACAAGGCGGACTATCAATGAGAACTTTTATAGCGCCCAACATGCCTGTTCTAAAGTGTTGTAACTCCCAAGGAATCAAACTCGGCAAAATTGGGGGCCCACGGACCAAATCCTATATCGCGCAAGAGATTTCAATGTCAAATGTGTGTAAGTCAGAATCATAATTTGGCTTACCGCCAATAGAACGGAAGGATTGAAGATTATTTATAAGTTCATCTATTTGATCATAAAGTGTGCACACTCCGTCGTCATGCTCAATTTCACCATAAAGAACGTTCTCTAATAGAGCAATAAGTTTGTCCAATGCATGGGTACACACGATCAAAATCTCTAACCGCTTGAATTGAGCCTCCATTCAGAAAGAAAAATCGGGTTGCATTTTTTTTCTTGGAGTGCGGTGCAAATTGATCCGACGGTTGCCACAAACAATTATAGTGGATCTCTCCAAACAAATTCTTCCTCTGATCTAAAAAAAATTACAAATCTTCCCTGGTGACTTTTTTTTCTTGTTTCGATCTGGCACCATAGCAAATTCTGAACAAATCCTTGTTACAATAACCAAATTTATGTGGATCACTCTCAAATCCTTGAGCAAATTCTTGGTGGCCACAACAATTGGCACTAAAAATTGAACCACAACGCCGGCCTCAAATCTACCAACTTTATGGAATCTGCTTCCTTTGTGCGGCAACTGAACCAATTGGATGATATCGCTACTGGAACTTCTTCTTTTTTCCGTAAATAGCTAGGCTATTGTGCTCGGTCAAAACAAAATTTTGCAACGGCGGCTGCAAATCTCGTGCCCCTACAGCGGCGTTGGGACAAATTTGTGGCTTTGTCGCTGGATCTCGGATTCCTCTTCAACGGTGATGACAATTATTATTTTTTTGTTTTATTTTTGGTGAGTTCAACAATGAGAGCACCAATTGATACAGTATCGTATCGGATAGGGAAGAACTTCGAGCGTCTTCGGGCTCCAAGAAAGGGGAGGTAAGGAGAGAAGGAAAACTTCGAGCGTTTCCGAGCTTCAAGAAAAGAGAGACGAGAGATTAAGATAATTCTTGATTATTGATTGATAATAAAACGGGATTACAATATATAGAGATGAGACGCCGCACCTACATGACCTAATGGGCTCGGGCCCATACAAAACCCTAATCTATAAAATACTAATAAATAATAATAATTAACTACTAAATAATAATATAACTAATTAAAATATTCTAATTAACTATAAGTATCACAGTCAAACTTTAATCACTTTCTTTACCTATTTTCGTTAGTTATTTGATAAAATAGTATAGTCACGTCACCTCTTGTTTTGTAGAACTTTTGATTTACTTTTTAAATATATAATTATTTTTTTAATTTTAAATCTACAATCAAATAAATTAAATTGAAAATAAAATCGGTCAAACTTCGTAAATAAAAACGGAAAAAAAGTTTTAGGAAGTAGGGAGCTGAATAACGATTTATTAACCCTCATCATGAGAGATGTTAAAGAGCCTGTTTGGGAATAGCTTCAGCTATTAGAGTTAGCGTTTTGAAAAGGCTATCTACGGGCAGCGTTTAGCGTTAGCGTTTTCAAAGTAATCTGCACCGTCAAAATTTTATCCAAAACGCTAACGCTAATCTCTAACGCTATTCCCAAACAGGCCCAAACTCATGTGTCCCTGAATGTAAACAAACAATTTTTTCTTTAAGAAACCAAACATATCTAATCAATGCTCCATCCGTCCTAAAACTTTTTTCTCAAAACTATTCACACGATCAAATTTTAATCACTTTCATTACCTATTTTTGTTAGTTATTTGATAAAATAATATAGTCTTTTCTCATCTTGTTTTGTAAACCTTTTGATCTAATTTTTAAATATATAAAATTTTATTTTTTAATTTAGGAGAAAAACCAAAATAGCAATCTTAGAGCCTTAAAATACTCTAAATAGCAATGTTATATGTTTCATACATGTGATTCCAATTTTGTCCTTTAATTAAACGGCAAATATTCATTACACACTGCCAAAAATATGATTGTTTTGGGCAGTGTGGTTGTTCACTGTAACTGTGTAGTCGGTAGTGTGGTTTTTTATATGTGAGTATTTAATGTGGCAGTGTAGAATTGATATATGTTGTTATGTCTTACGACAGTGTGTAAGTGTAATTTTATGTTCCTTAATTTCATGTTGGAGTGTAATG